TATTGGGAGCATTTAGTTTCTCAAGTGTGTCCTCAGCCTTTCCTCTTGTGGGCTTTCTGCAAGCTCTGAAAGCAGGTCTCTTTGAAGCATGCATTGTCCTTGCAGTCACCAGGACCGGCCCCAGCTGCATGTTATGGTTGTGTAGGGGCTTGTGTTGCCCTAATGTGCCAGCCGTGGTGTGGGGATGAGGACAGTGGCATAGGTATGCAGGCACAGGAAGGGGAGAATGGCATGGGTATACAGGGAAAGGAAGGGGCACCTGCCTAGGGCATGCTACTCTGCAGCCCTTCCTCATTTATCAGAGGGTGGTGCGCTGGGCAGGAGCCTCCTGCTGTTGCCACAGGGTTCGTAGGCTGCCTGTGGCTCCTGGGTGCCCTAACACCCAGCCTAGACAGAAAGACAGACCTCCCTGGCTGAGGCTTGCAGAACACAAGTGTCTGTGCTATTAGTGCTGACCATGTTTAGCTCTCCAGGTAGCAGTGGACAGGACAGATAGCTGGAAGAGACAAATCTGAAAGCCTCTTAGGACATGTTATGGGGTATCCCAGAGGGAAGTCACACTTATGACTTATTTATAGGGGATTCTAGGACTAAATTCTGGAATTAATTCCTTCTTTCACTTCATGTGTTGAGATGTTTTGCAGGCATGGTCTAGTTCGGTCTCCTGGTGACAGTCAGGGTTGGGGAAGGAGCAGGGCGGCCACTGATTTGAAGTTGCAAGCTCTGTGGGATGCATTGCACACACTCGCATTGCTCTTACCTGCCTATGAAGGATGTAGGATGCCAGGGAGATGGTCTGAGACAGTGGGTACCCTTAACCTGGCCTAGGTTTGGGTGCTGGAATCACTCAGAGAAGTGCTTCTGTCGCGGTGCAAATGATTGCTGCCTCTACAGAGCCGCAGGCAGCGTCTGCCTGCTCCTGCTGCAATGTGGAGTGAGCGTGCTGGGTGGGAAGGCCTGAGCACAGGAGTAGGCATTCCCTTGCTGCAACCAGGAAGGATGCTGCCTGCCCAGACTCAGCTGTTCCCAATCTGGGTCCCTCTCCCAGAGCTTTGAGCACCTCCTGAGCCACACAGGGGTAGTGTTTGGCACCGGGGTGCCATGTCTCTTAGTATTTCTGGGAACTCTGATTTATTTAACCTGGCTATCAGCGTGAAAATGCAGTGTGGCAGTGGGAGCCAAGTGCAGAGACCCGTATTGGTGGAGAGTTGTAGGAGCAGTGAGTGGTGAAGTCCAGCTGCAGACTCTCAGGAAGAGTGAAGGATTCCCCACAGGGGACCTGGGGCTCTGATGCCTTTCCTCAGACACTCACCACCTTGTTGCCTGAAGCCCAGACCAGATCCTATGTGCAGCACCAGAGAGCTGGCTGGTGGGCTATGCTGGGCTAGGATAGTAGGCAAGACAAGTCATATCAAACTGCTTCCAAAAGCAACACCTTCCAAGGCTCTCAGGAAGAGTGAAGGATTCCCCACAGGGGACCTGGGGCTCTGATGCCTTTCCTCAGACACTCACCACCTTGTTGCCTGAAGCCCAGACCAGATCCTATGTGCAGCACCAGAGAGCTGGCTGGTGGGCTATGCTGGGCTAGGATAGTAGGCAAGACAAGTCATATCAAACTGCTTCCAAAAGCAACACCTTCCAAGGCTCATGAGGTGCACAGAGCCTGACGTCAGCAGGTAAACATGGGCTGGCAAGCAGCTATCAAGGGCCAATGGTGGAGCAAGCAAGGAGCTATCAGAGGTAACAATTACCCTTATGCATGCTGCCCCATGGACAATGGTCAGGGTTGCTAGCAGGCCAGGCGAAGCCTCTGGTGATAGCCCCAGTGCAGATGAGGCTTCTCCCCCTCCCAGTCCTGACATCAGGGGAAACACCTCCAAGGCAGTCTGGGTCCTAATTTCCTCTCCTTTATCTGCCAGCCCACAAAGTTAAGTGAACTATAGCTAAACAAACCAAATTAAAACCAAGTGGGTTAATATCAACCTAGGATTACCCTTGTTATCAAGAAGATGGAACTGTATCAAGTAAATCAACAATTCTTTATAAGCTTTATCTAATTATCCAGGATGAAGCTGCCTTCTAGAGCTCCT